GCGCGGTGGCTGCCACGGTCGACTGACCGTGACTGCGCGCGCCACAGCACGACCTGGCCCCCCATACACACACAAACACCAGGATTTCACACAACGGGGGTTGAACGGCGTGTCTCTCACTTGCGTGAGAGGGCCGTGGAAGCTGCTGCTTCAGCCCGTTCCCAGCTCACCAGTCCGCCACTCCACACAGCACACACACACAACGCGACGAACTGCGTGAACCGAGAGCGGGCGTCAATCAGCAACCTTCCTATCCACGACACTTGAAGTGTCGGGATAGTCTCGGACTCAAATCACCCGTACAGCCGAAGCCGCGTGGGAACCGAAACGAGATGCGGACTTCCCACTTGCGTGGAAGGTGGCAGTTGGTGCATGCGGTGGGTAAGTGTTGATGTGTGTTGGTGATGGTGGAGGAGGGTAGGGAGTGTGTGGATGTGTGGTGTAACCGGCGGTTGTCTACCCAGGTCGTCGTGGATGCGCATGTGGCCGAATAGGCCCATGCGGTGCCTGAAAGTGCGAGGACAGTGTGGACAGTTGAGACGAGCTGGGTGGGTATAGGTGGGTGCTCCAGGCACTGGGTCGTTAGCCTCTGTGCGATGGATTCGCAAGTGACCGACTAGGCCGATGCGTGAGGTGAGTGTGCGTGGACAGTGTGGGCACGTGAAGTCGGCGGTGTCAGAATCAGCTACAGAGGAGGCGTTGGTGGTGGCGCAGATGGACGGTGCGAGGGTGGTGCTGGGCATGATGGGCGTGGTTGGTGTGTCGGAATTGTGGTCGATTCCGCTCTCGTGGATGCGCATGTGGCCGAATAGACCCATGCGGTGCGTGAAGGTGCGAGCGCAGTGTGGGCAGTGGAGGCGAGTGCGGTGGGTGTAGGTTGGTGCTTCAGGCACTGGTTCGCCGGTCTCTGTGCGATGGATTCGCAAGTGACCGACCAGGCCGATGTGTGAGTTGAAGGTGCGGTCGCAGTGAGGACAGGTGTAGTCCTGATTCTCATTGCTGGAGTCAGGAGAGGCGGGGGTGGCGCCGGTTGTTCTGTCGCGGTCAGAGATGTGCGAGACGGCTGCCTGAGCGGCCGCCGTTGGG